GGTAGAGCGCTGCACTAGTATCGCAGAGGTCAGTGGTTCGAATCCCGTACAGGCCTGATTTTTTTCAGGTCTGATTTTCGCTATTACATAAATAGCGCTCTCTACTGCGAGGATCGTGCATCATACGTAAAATCTTCTTTATTTTTCATTTCTGTTACATACAGGCTCTTTAATGTGCTTAAAGGAATAACAAGAATTTTGACTATTTTGGCAATTTTGACTATTGAGAAACGTAGTTTATCTGTCCAGCACTATGTAAGTAACAGATATTTCATTGAAGCATAACTTCGAAACAGATCTTGGAAAGGAGGTCGAAAAGCAGTTATCATATCTCTGGGAAAATGCAAGCGCCTTACTTGCTCACTCTACCGTCTGGCCCACTACGTCTGGAAATTTTCAGTTTTCAAAATGTCCCTTGAAGTCGATTTCGAAGAAAAGGTTCGAAAGACCTGTATATAAACATGCAAGAAAACTGGGTAACAAATAAACAAATCCAACAACTTTCAACTTGGTTTGAACAGGCTTCCAGAGGAAAGCGCTGTAGATAACAAGCGAGAGCAAAGTCAACAAAACAAGGCTGACTCAAGTCACTAAGACTCGATCTCTGCCTAAAGATCTTTTAGCACCTTTAAGGGAAAAGGCTGTTAATGGCGAAAGTTGTAACAGTTTTTACAAAAGCAGACCGACGGAACGTTCGTAACGACATGCTCCTCGCGAAACTCTCAATGAATACCCTTTGACAAAATGGCAGTGATTCGTGTGAACCAGATACCATTTCACGTTTCCAAACGAAATGTGGCTCCAAATGATTTGGCTATTGTGAAACTGTTATTACTCGATGAGTTGATTCTGCCTAATTTTTGGGTTATTTCCTTTAAAATGGTATCAATCAAGAGCTCAATTTTTTTCTGGGCACTTGAAGAATGTTTTTTTGTGTTATAAGTTTACCATAGAAATACCCCGGTCTCTTAGAAACACCCTAAATGTCAGCTTTATGCGCCCATAACCAAAAAGAGTCTAGTGATCCCATCTTTGAGTGCACTCAGCCAATCAGGACTCATATTTCTGCAAAGTGTTAAGGAAGTTGCAACGTAAGCTCAAAGGGAAGGCTATTGATTCAGGCCTTGTGATTTGTCAATTTCTTTTAGTAGTTTGAAGACAGTCTATCTGATGGAAGTCTGTAATCTGCATAGCTGTTCACTTGAGGGCTAACCCTGATATGATGTCCTGAGCGAAAGCAGTGTGATAGAAGAGAGCGCGTCGATAAGTTTTGTCAATGGAGTCGACTTTGAAAGAAAAAATAAATCGTTTCTCCTCGAAAGAAAGAGTCCTCCGTTTCCGTCTAAAACTAGAAACGGTTTAATACGAATCGACGTGTCTAAGCCAATGATTATCCGTTGCTGTCTCCTCATTTTCTGGTGCTGTACATTAGTACTTGACTGGAAAAGTAATTTGAAAGTCTAAAACATCTACTGGATTAGTAAAATTGATAATTGTGTTGTCCGTTGAAAGTAACGAGTAAGAACAACTTACCTTATTTCTAGGACTAACAGTTTAGTTTTCTTGTTTAGGTTCCAGAAAAGATCAGGAAGAGTGGGTGGAAGAAAAACCTCCTTACAGAGGCGGCTGATGATGTATTTTGCAAGGAGGTGGCGGTACGTGCTAGTAAGGCGAAGACGGCTGTTCATAAAATACGTGAGAAAGTACAGAATGGTAAGACTTGGAAGAGTTATAAAACTGAGGTACAATAGGAAATGGATCAGCTTTAAAGGGCGAAGGCGATATAAAAAACTCAAAAGGAACAGGGTTAGGAAACGAAGACGCAGAAGACGAAGAGCTAGAAGACGACGAAAACGACGAAGGCGACGAAGGAGATACAGACGAAGAAGACGAAGACAAAGACGAAGACGAAGGCGGAGAAGAATTAGAAGACGAAGAAGACTCATTCTGTTCCGATATGGCAATCGCTGGAGGAAAGTGTTCCGAAGGAAGGGAAGACTTTTCTTCCGAAGTGGAAAGTTTTTCATGGGTTTCAAGTAAGAAAGCATTCTGGTACAGTTAGATGTATTGTAAGAAAACGATGCTGTCTCCGCAATAGCTCTTACCGCAATGCGTTTTGTTATTGAAATATCCCCCACAAATGAATGAATGTCGCAAGAATTCTTATCTTTTTTTGTTTTCGGTTTTTTTTTTCGATGGGAGGCCTTTCAACAAAATGAGCTTCTTTCAATGGCAGTATTTTAAACGTATGTATTTTGGTTTAAACTTAAACTCAGGTATTCCAGAGGTACAGTGTATGTGAGGACGCGGAGGGGACGATGGCGTCTAATCCGAAGGTTACGAAATAGGGTAAAGATCTGGTCGGGACGTCATTGGACTCGTCTAACGGTTCGTCACAGAAGATTGTGCATTCGTAAAGGAAGGAGGTTCAGAAAGATCAGAATATTGAGAGGAGGTCAAGTCAGAGTGCTATACAGAATAGGTTGGAGAAGAATTGGACGGCTACGAAGACAACGGCGAAAGCTCGTCAAACGTAGAAAACGTCTGAGGCGACGACGACGGAGACAACGAAGGAGACGAAGGCGAAGGAGACGGCAACGACGACGACAACGACGGCGTCGTAGAAGGCGACGAAGGAGGCGCAGAAAATTGAGAAGGAGGAGACCAAGGTGCGTGATGCGCTACCGGTATGGCCGCAGGTGGAGACGAATCGTGCGAAGAGGCAGGCGTTTCCTTATCAAAATAGGACGAAGACTGCGGTCATGGAGGTACCATCTAGCAATTATATATTGACAGTTGTGGGTTGGAGAACTTCTTTAACACTTTCAAAGTAGTTAGGGAACTTGCAATGTAAGGTTTTTAAATATTTGCACTATACATAACCAAATTGACAATTGAAAAAAGTAAAAGTTCAATTAAGACGAATAGTGTTGGAGATAAGTATGAGAGCGATCTTGGCAGTAACGACCTCTACTTGAGCAGTAGTGAAAATAGTAAGGCCTAAAAACAAATTCAGGCCTGTACGGGATTGGAACCAATGACATTTGCGATACCGGTGCAGTGCTCTACCAACTGAGCCAACAAACCAACTGGAAGCTGGTCATTATGTTGGTTCGTAATAAACTCGTGAAGTGATAAGTCACCGGTTGTGAATATATGGAAGTCATATATCTTAACTGCAGTTCAGATATATGATTTCCATATATTCCCAAACAGTGTTGGAAATAGTAAATAATGATAATTAACCAACTATTCACCCGGTTAAATTTACTTAATGGAGGGTAGTTTGGTCGGGAATCACATCCGTTAGTTGAAAATCGTGAGAACTCAACGTGTGAGTTTGAATTAATATTAAACAGGTATCATTTCTTGTTTCATTTCCCTTCTCTTTTTCTTGCAATTTGATGGGTTCCTTCAAAAAAATTCGAAGTTTGACTGGTTAATCGTTTGGTTTTTGTGTTCCATTCCGATGCCACTTAGAGCCAAAAGAAGTGCGAACTGTGACTAAATTGTCTTGTTCAGAGTCGATCAGATTGCAAGGATAACCAATGATTTTCAAATGCATGTTATGCAGTGCACACTGTTTAAAATCAGACAAGGATTAAACCAGGCCCCCCATGAAATAACTGGAGTTATTTTATCTTTTAGACCACGAGGGTCCCGTGTAAAAATTGGACGACGGGGAAGATATCACCCAATTAATAAACGGCTCAAGGTGAAAGTCGGTCTTGTATGGAGGAGAATAACGCTGAGGCGCCAGAAATTGAGGATCACGTGGGGAAGAAGATCAAGACCTGTGTTGATAACAAAGAAGCGACTGAAGGTGTTCACCGGGAAAAGATGGAAAACATTAACGAGGCGAAGGAGATATTCAAGAAGAAGAATCCTTCGCAGGAAAAGGAGGCGACAACGACGGCGAAGAAGGCGAATGAGAAGACGGAGACGAAGGCGACGACAAAGAAGACTGCGGAGGCGGCGCCGAAGGCAACGAAGAAAAATAAGAAGACAACGAAGAAGAAGGCGCACGCGGCGATCACGATGTGTGTTGCGTATTCGTTATCACGGTCGATTGAGACCAGTGTATCGTAGAGGAGGTCGGCTGATGATGCGGTTCAATAGGCGATATATGAAAGTGAGGTATGTTGAAAATTCAGTGTTGATCGGACGCTATCATGGACTTTTATGTCGTTAAAAATGGGAGCTTGTCTTTAAAACTGTGAATCAAAATTGACACATCATTTCAAAGAGAGTTTGTCTGTACACAATTAATTATACAATAGCAAAATTGAATCATATCGGTGATCATACATTTAAATTGATCGAAGATATTGATCCATAAAGAAACTGTGGTATTGCATCACCTTAATTAACTAAGTTGATAAAGGTAGATAAACCGCTCTAAACGAAGTCTGACGTTTCAATCGTTACCCTTTTCTCGGAGCAAATTGGGAGACTTTTAGGGTAGAGAATAGAGTAGAGGATCGTTTTCGCAAACATTGGAGACACCTCAAAGCAACAACCTCAATGCCTCTTTGCTCGTTTTTATTTTCCTGGTAATTTTTTTTTGAAACCATATGTCTGTGGACTATCTTTCCACCAAAGCAACACAGAATATTGAAAACAACAAAAAGAAACTTTCAAACGATGCTGTTTCTTTACAAATCGACACCGGGCTCTCTTTGGAATTAATGAGCGACTTACATTAAATCGATTTGTGTATTCAGGTATCATCTGTTATTCTGTCCACTTCATAGCATAGCTCCACAGAAACGCAACTACACCACCCACAATCCGTAATTTCCTCGGAAGAAGGGCCAACGCTTGAGATGCCAGCTTTTTAAGAATTTTAATATTTAAACCAGACCTAACATAATTCCGTATCACAATTTTTTAATGATTATAAAAATATTCCTCTCATCTTCGAAATTATAGGTACGCGAATCGACGATTATTTATCCGCCGTAAAAATAAATGGGTTCTCCAGACAAGTCCCCGAATACGAGTGTTTGTAGGGAGAAGGTGGGCAAAGCTGCGGCGAATTGGTCGCAGACTTTATGCCAAAGGTAAACAAATCCGATTAACGAGAGGGCGAGTGAGAGTTTTGACGCGTAAAGGATGGAAAGGACTAAGGTACCGAGGAAGAAGGCGGACAGTAAGGTACTCGAAGAAATACTTGAGGAGGCTAAGAAGGCTACGAAAGATGCGACGAAGACAACTCAAAAAGATAAGAAGAAGGAAAAGAAGACGACAACGAAGGCGTAAGCGAAGGCGGCGAAGAAGACGTCGTAGGCGACGTCGTAGAAGGCGGCGAAGAAGGCGTAGAAGAGGCGGCTATGGAAGACGAGGAAGAAAGAAGAGACTGAGAAGAAGACTCAGGAGAAGAAGACGACGATTTAGGAGAAAGGCGAGAAGACGACGACGGAGACAAAGGCGACGTCGAAGAAGACGAAGACAGCTTTTGAGGCGAAAACGCCGCTGTGTGCTGCGGTTCCGATATAGAAGAGGCTGGAGAAGGATCTTCAGATGGAAGAAAAGCTTGGTTTTCCGATTTCACGGAAAACTCCACTATTTAAGGTGAGGAAATCCTGTCTCTTTAGTCTTTCGATTCATGGTGCTTTACGCAATTTTCTTTAAATTGATTGTCGTTACTATGTACAAAACTGTCTGTTGGTGGATGTCTGGGATTATGGGGCCAAAGGCTTCCTTGGTATAGTTTCCGTTCAGTTCAGAGGTTCCAGAAATCCTTTTCCGAATAGGTGGGTAAATTCGGGAAGGTGGCCTGGCTTTCCACTGTCTTACGCTTTAAAATTGATTGGCAAGTGGTAAGCATGTGGAAAGATAAGGGCTTCACAGTTATACTTTAGGAAGTCAGTTTTTTATTGACGCTACAAGGTGAAAATCTACGGTTTTTGCTTTATGCTGTTTTATAAGAGAGTGGAAAAAGAGAAGATTAAAAAGAGAAGACTAAAATATCACGATAAATTTATAAGCCTTTAGGACACCTTTCTGACGGAACTATCCATTGCATCGTATCCAACGAATAAAAACGAATTAACAAATCGACAGTGGTTTAGTGTGGTCTGTACCTTTATCGACAAATGTGACGACGAATGTCGTTGTCGGGAAGAGTACAGTCCACGCCCACCCACTCTCGACATGTTTTTTACCACAATATCGACTGCAAATGAAAGGATTTTTTCATAGCGTGACACATAGCGCGACACGTTGACGCGAGCTGCGTTGTTTCAACTCTTATCAACGACAATAAATTGGCCAATCGGATCGCGACATTACGCCAATTGTAGTAAAATTAGAACTGTACCTTCTCTTGTTTCAGTTACCATCGCGGAGTACTCAGGCTCAGGTTAAAAAGAAGATGGATTCTAGTCCGTAATCTGGGGTATCGCCTGCGAGTCTATATCAGGGGCGTTTGGAGACTGATACGTAAGAAGGGTCGCAACTTGTTTGTTAAATACGGACGCAGATATCGAAGGGTAGGACTCTACGGAGGATTTCCTAGAATCAGAATCGGAAAACGTTGGAGGTTAATCAGAAAAAGAGTCAGTAGGAGGACAAGAAAGAGGCGAAGGATCAAGAGACGGAGGAGAAGGCAACGAAGAAGGCAAATGAGGCGAAAACGAAGGTACAGGAGAAGGCGAAGACGGCGAAGAATGAGAACACGTAGACAGCTTCGAAGATGCGTCATGCGAGTCCGCCGTAAACGACGCTGGCTTCCTATCATTAGGGAAAGAGGTGTTTTGAAGATACGATTCGGAAGAGTTTTAAGGCTTATCAGGTAGTGTAGCAAATGGTTCTTTGATTTTATTGTGACGTACGTATTCGTACTTTCTGGAAGGGTGTTTATTCAAATTGGACAGTCCCTTTCAGTTGGTGTTGTTTCAACCAATGTGCATTACATGCACTCTTAAATGTTCTATAGTTAGAACCTTGAAAAGTACACAGTGATTGATTGTGATTTCTGTGTATTTAAAGAACTCGAGTTTCTAAGACAAAACCATTTCTGTGGATCTAATTCATTTTGCTGATAAAGGGCGTATACAGTTAGCTCTAGTGATGACTTCCCTCTGGTCGTGAAAACGCGAGTGACAGCCACCAGAAACGCCCACTTTTGGAATCATTCTGAGCAAGCTTATCACTGTATACGATGGATAAAGATGAACAGGCTTACTGGAATCATTTACTGTCTCGGTGATTTGAGTCTAATAGTGACGAAACAATTACACATTCAATCCAACATTTAAAAAAGCGTCGTTGTGGGAAGTTCGAATTCGAAATAAAAGTAGCGTCACATAGATTTTTAAATTGTTTTCCTTTTACACATTACTATAAGGTTCACCAGGGGTATAACTTACATCAAGTTTGGAAGGCGTTGGATAAAGAGAAATTACCAAGTCAACATCCGAATGGGAAGGAAATGGCTGCGAATGGTCCGGTTCGGTCGAAGATTTGGCGTCCGATTCAGAAATAGGATAAGGGTCTTGAACTTCTATCGGGGCCGACCAAGGATCCGTATGCGTAGACACTGGCGATATATCACAAGGCGAAGAAGAAGAGGAAAACGAGCGAATAGGAGACTACGGAAAAGGAATCGAAGACGAAGACGAAGGAAGTCCAGAAGAAGACGACGTAGAAGGAGAAGGAGAAGAAGGAGACGAAGAAGGCGAAGGATAAGAAGGCGAAAGAGGAGAAGAAGACGAAGAAGACAAAAAATAAGGCGACGACGCTGTGTTATGCGCTTCAAGTTCCGAAACCGTTGGAGGAGGCTTGTTCGTAGAGGAAGAACGTTAGTTTTCCGTACAAGGAGAGGATATGGACGTGTTAGGTAAGACGTTTAAAACTATTGCAAATACTAAGGCCTCCTGAGGCCGTGAGTTCATGATTTGTTTCAATTGTATCTACCGTGACTTCAAAAAACAGTCAGAGCAGATATGCGGCTACTATTCTTGAAACTGAAGCGGGAATTTTCAGTATAAAGCAAACTCAAACAGTCATTCAAAAAGTTCAGTGTTATTTTGAAATAGAGTGTAAAAATTATGCAGTCATTTCTTGGAGGCTGGAAACGTTTTCCATCTTAGCCACAACGTAAAAACTTTGTGTTTTAGAATCTAACTCTTTGAAGATTTTATTCAGCGAACAAGTCTAATTATCTTGATTATTGCAAGATTTTAATCGAACCTGATTTTGCATACCACGAAGCCCTAATCCACGGTTTCCCAAAATGGTTAAGAAGATAATAATTTTATACCAATATGTGTCACTTATAATCCATGAGATCTTTCTTAAACTTGTTAACCTTGACGCCCTTCTCTGTTTCTATTCATATTACAGGTTCATCAAAGGAAAGGTGATAGTTTACCACATGCGAAGACGACGTGTTCTTAGAAGAGCAAGACTCCAAGTTCGAATCTCCAAAGTCTGGCGTACGTTACGAAGGTATCGTACAGGCTTCGCTTTCCGTTACAGAAGAGGAATGAGGCTATTAAGAATCAAAGGAGGATTACCATTATACCGGTATGGCAATCGTTGGAAGAAACTGAAGAGAAGATGGATTTCTTCTAAGCGAAGAAGAAAGAGGATTAGGCGCCGAATTATAAGGAAACGGCGACGACTTTTGAGACGTCTGCGTAGGCGACAGAGGAAGCGATACCGACGTAGAAGGAAAGCGTTAAGACGAAGAAGAAGAAGAAGGAGGAGACGAAGAAGACGCAGAAGGCGACGAATTCGACGAAGGAGGAGAAGAAGGCGACGAGGACGAAAAGGACTCCGTCGTCGTTTCAGAGGGGTGAAAAGGAGAAAAAGGAAAATACAAAGACTTCGAAGAAGGAAAAGACGTTCAAGAAGGAGAAGAAGACGACGAAGAAGAAGGCGAAGGCAACGAAGAAGAAGAAGGCGCAGAAGGAGACGAAGAAGGCGAAGAAGAAGTCGTCGACGTAGACGCCGTCGTTGTGTAATGCGTTTCCGTTATAGAAATAAAATGACGAAGGTGTATCGTATTGGAAGCAGACTGGTATTTCGCCGAGGAAGAAGATTCATAAGAATCAGGTGAGTATTTTTCTTAGTTGTAGTTTTAAGTGATATATATATATATATTCACTATTATTTGGAAAATGATCGGCATTCGGGTTATAAGTAGAGGTTATTTGTTATTAGGCTCTGTTTGGATGATCTAGTTGATTGTAAGCTGTGGTAGAAAACTGTTTTGATCTTTAGTGTCAAGATCCTAAAAAATAGCTGGCTGTTAGTGTAAAATTCTGTGTTTTTTAAAGCATAGCGTTAAAGTTTGATAATAAGAGAAATAAATCGTGTTCTACGAGTGAATTAAGTCAGTCAAGTGTGAACAGTAAAGACTCAAGCCATGTTCCAATTCGAATGAAATAGTTCGCATAGTTGCCTTAAGATTTCGTTATTTTGTAGCACTGAATCATTTAATTGCTTGTTTCTAGTACAAGTTTTCTTTGGCATCAAAAATATGCCCAATTACTTCTTATAAAGTTAATTTTTTTTGGCAAAGTTTAAAAAACCTCTAGTGTAAGTTCGAGATCTGGCCTGGTCAATTTGTTGCGTTCTTGGACAAGACACGTTACTCTCCCCCGATTAATGGATAGTACCTCTCTCCCCCCCCCTAGGCGTTTTAATGGTACCGGCAAATTGTCAGGGAAGCCTGATGAAATTCTGGGAGGGTGAGGGAGTGAGGGACTGGCATCGTATCCAGGGGGGAGTAGTAATACTCGTAGTCACTTCATTCCTTGGAAACAGCGATGAGCTCCAGTTGGATGGGCTAATACGCTCGATTACAGACTTTTACTTTACCTTACCACTTTAATTTTTTGAGAGGTTTAAACTGATCCTCAACCTGTATGGCAGAAATTTCTTAAAGATAGAACTTGGCTTGGCTATTGCTTTTCGACAATAAACAAATAAAGCATCATGATAAAGTTTTGGATCATGGCCAAATAAAGCTGAATTAAAGGATGTTTTTCAAGAGGATGTGTTGCCTTGGTAACGTCTTGTACCAGAGAAGGGACCATAAATTGACGGTTCTGATTAGTTATTTTTTATGATACCGTAATAGGCAAAAAAGTGGTGATAGTATGGTCCCATCATTAATTGGTTGAAAAAAAATATGGATATCTTTTTAGCCTTCTAAAAGTGTGTCTTTCACGTCACTACTTTCAACTCTTCGAGTCACGGCTTTCTTTCTCTCTTATGTGATGCTTTTTACATTATTCACAGTTACAGCAGAAGAGGAATAATTATTTATGGAAGAAGAAAGCGAATTTTGCGGTCTCCCATCGCAAAAGTGCGAGTGAATGGAAGATGGCAAAGATTTTTTTCATATCGTGGTAGAGGGGCGATTGTTTACAAAAGAAGGCGGCCCATCTTTAAGGTAAGGCATGGACGGTTCTTGATCAGGATAAAAAGGACCTACAGGAGAATCAGCTCTTACAGTCTACGATACAGGCGCAGAAGGTTGAGGCGAATACTGAGGAGAAGAAGACGAAGAATCCGGAGACGTAAAAGGAGAAGAAGGCGCCGGCGAAGAAGGAGAAGGAGCAGAAGACAAAAGGGAAGAAGAAGAAGATTACGACGAAGGCATCAAATACGAAGGCGTGGTTGTGTGATGCGTATTCGATACAGGCGTCGCTGGAGGCTGGTGTATCGAAAACGTGGTCGCCTCGTAGTGAAAATAGGAAGGAGAGTACGATACGTGCGGTGAGTACTGATGTTAGGAAAGAACTCAACTTGTAGATCATGGACCTAGTATATTAACGTTATCTTTCAAACCATGGTTTTTTTTAAGATCCTCATATACTCGGTAAAGTTTTACGCGATCCCTATGTCTTTTCCTTGTTTTGGTTTTATGTATTTTATATCTCATTTTCCATCCAGTGTCAGTAAAATATCATGTGAAAACCGTTTTCTTCAAGCCCATCTCTATTTGCATAACTCATTTTGATCAGTACAGAATGGTCAACGAACGGAAACGCATACTTTATTCTTTGTTGAGGTCACAAAAAGACGATTTTAGGGCAAAAGTTTCGAGTATCCTAAAACAAATGCTCTTCTGTTTCGATTAACAGATACCTGGGTAAAAGGTTGATGTTTAAGCGAAAGAGGAGATGGTACATAGTACGAAAAGCTCAAGTCTGGCTTAGAAGATGGCGCCGCGTACGTTTCTTTAAGAAACGCTCATACCTGCGGTACAAACTTAAGAACCACAGGTTACTTATCCGCAGTGGAAGAATTCGCTGGCGAACCAAAAGGGGTTGGAAAAAAATCAGACCCAGACTGAGAGGCCGACGAGGAAAGCTTAGAAGAAGAAGAACAAGACGCATAGTAAGAAGGCGTAGACGTAGACGGCTTATCCGGCGCAAAAGACGAAGAAGACGCCGACGACGAAGACGGCGTCTCAGATGTGTCATCAAAGTAAGATGGCAACGGCGATGGAGATCAGTGTATCGGCGAGGAAAATTCTTGAGTTTTGTCTATAAACGACAACCAATAAGAGTCAGGTAACCATTTACCTTTTGACGGCGAAGTATGTGTTCTGTTCTTTAGGTATTTTTAATGCTGACTTGAAAATTTCACCACAGAATCTGCCAATACACATTTTATTTCTGTTGCTGGGCTGTGAATTGAGTTTGCTGATTGATTTACCTCATCATCTTCATCATCGTTATCATCATCGTTATCATCATCTTTCAAAGAATGGCGGATGGTGAGGAAGAGAGATAACTTCACAAGTATTCTCAAAGACAAATATTTTCAGTTTGAAAATTGAGTGAAATACAGGGGTGAACTGACAGATTAAAAAGAGAGATTGGAAACGTTTGGTTCTGTCATTACAATAAACTTTATAAATGCGCAGCTTTTTTGAAAACATTTATAAACTTTTAAGCTCAGTCACAAATGAAACTTAATTTTTAAATTTTTGTCATCCCGATGTTCAGGTTTTACAGGAGGCAGTTCCAATATAGATTCGGACGGCGATGGCGAACTGTAAGAAATCCACAAAGAAGCGTTCGAGTTTTTTACAAAGGGTGGCGTAGAGTACGAGTACGAGGAAGAGAAGTATACCTTCGGGTAGGTCGAAGAATGAAAAGGTTGAAACTCCGCAGATGGGGAGTGACAATGCGACGGTTCCGTCGATGGGTACCCTTGCAGAGATATAGACGAGGAAGGAGAGCAGGGCGGATGCGTAGAAAACTAAGAAGGAAGAGAAGAAGGAGGCGAAGACGAAGACGAAGAAGACGAAGACGAAGAAGACAGAGGCGTCGAAGGAGACGACGCCGCCGAAGGAGAAAAGTTAGGAGAACCGTTCAACGGATCATATTCCGTTACCGCGGTAAATCAAGGGTTGTATACCGAAGAGGAAACAGATTCATATTCCGCTACAAGGGAAGGATACGGCCAGTCAGGTATAACATCAAGATTTCGGTTTTCGTTTCTTGAAGTACTTTCCGATTTGTAAGAGCGAGTCTGAAGTCGAGTCATTTTATTGCTCCTACTTTATTATCTTATTCTACTTCTTCTAGTCATGGTTGTCGTCTATAAGTGACTTAATTGATTTTTTTCTTTTCATCGTTTCATATTCCTACGCGGCATGCATAGTTACTGACTGCCCACACTTTTTATAATTCTCTGTCCTTTGGCACCTAGTACTGTTTACAAACGAAACATCTGATTCGGTAAATTGGTGGTCTGATAAGTTCTTGGAGTGTTTTATGTGCGGAAGTCAGTAAATTACATTGTTATCTCGTAAAAGTTAACGAGACTGTCATTTTCATGGTCTACAGATTATATATCTCCAAAATGTGGAACTAATGGTTTTTAGACTTAGCTGAAAAGTTTCCCTAAATTGAGACATCCTAGGGTTTTTATCGCATTTTAATACTAACGATGAATATTTCCCACTAGTTTTAATTCATGTTGATCTCTCCTTAATGTGCAAGTTAGTTTCTGCGTTAAAAGCAGAGGCCAGATTTCTTCAATCTGTAGGCTATATTTTTACACAAGATAATTCATCTTGGTCAATTGGTTGTGGTCCTTGTAAATTAATTGTTGACTTGACCTGTAAATGCGCTGATTGTTTTATTTCTCCTTCGTAGTATGACTGAGTTACTCCTTATATTCTGATTTGTATACAGATTCCGTCGTAACGGCGTGTTCTTCTATTATGGACGGAAATGGAGAAGGTTTTATGGAAAGACTATGATCAGGTTACGTGGAGTGTACAGGAATGTACGATTTTATAGGAAAAAATTCTGGGTTTTCTTCCACAACCGGAAGACAAGAATAGCTTTCAGAAGGGGAAGGGTGCGTTTACGTGTCGGGAACCGTTGGAGAAGAGTCAGGAGGCGTAGACGATATAGAAAACGACGAGGAGTAGGGCGTCGTTGGAGAAGGAGGCGAAGATTAATCAGACGTAAGAAACGAAGACGAAGAAGGAGATTACGAAGGAGGCGTAGAAAAAGGAGACGATACCGTCGTAAGTTGAATTACATACGACGAAAGAAACGGGGAAGCCGATTGCGCTTTTACTGGCGGCGCAGGTGGCATACAGTATTCCTATATCATGGAAAGTACACGTTCACGTACCTTGGAAGGCAAAGACGATTAAGGTATCTTCATACATACTATCTAATGTAACTAGAGAGCCAAAATTGTATTAAAAGAGAGCAAGAAAATCAGTAGATTATTAATTTAATCAGTGAATAAATAATGTTTTTTCATTCGCCCAATAGTTTAATATTCATGTATCTGAACATAGCTACTTCCTCTTGATGTTTTTACTTTACTTATCCCTTCCGATACTTTTCTTGCTTAACTAGATTCCGTCGAAGTCTTATTTACGTGAGAGGGAAACGGAAGACTTGGCATAAGGTACTGAAAACCTCCAAACGCCTAAAAGTTCTAGTGAGACGATGGCGCCGTGTGCGAAAATATAAAAAAGGCTGGAGAATTATTTACAAAAGGAGAAATGTAAGAATTCGACTCCGACGTGGAAGAGTTTGCCTAAGGTGGCGAAGAAAGTGGCGTAAACTTCGAAGACGTCGAGCCCGGAGAAGACGCTGGGGCAGGCGAGGTAAACGACAGAGAGGAAAATGGAGGAGGAAAAAGTTAAGGAGAAGGAGGAGATATAGGCGCAAAAAGCGAAGGCAACGGCGGCGACGACAGAGAAGGAAAAGAAGGCGGAGAAGGAGAAGAGTACGACGTAGACGAAGAAGAAGAAGACGAATGCGTCGCAGTAGGATACGAGTTTATTTTAGACGAAGATGGAATTATGTAATCAAGAGAAGAAGCGGATATATTGTCAGATATGGAAGAACAATATACCGAGTCAGGTGACAATATTTTGATTAACTAATTATAACTTAGGCATTTTTCTACTACAAATAAGATTCGGAGTAGTACGCAGCCTTCTTACTTCTCACGGTTAAACACTCTTTTACTTTGTGTGTAAGGAAAGGTTCAGTATAGTCAAAGAAATGTCAATTTTCTTTAGATGCTTTTCATGATATTCATATTGATTATTAACGTAATTTGGATCGCAGTGATTATTTTGTAAACTGGCTCCACACATGTCACTTTTGTACGATCTTTTCTCGCGGGCATCTTTAAACTTTGTAGATTTTCAAAAGGAATGCCACCCGGGAGACCTGGAGGGGATGAAATATGCACAAAGTATTTATATCAGATACAATGAAATATATGAGGTTCATATATTTTGAACTGCGGTATTAGATACATATGGTGAACGACCCTCGCAGTAGATAGCGCTGTTTAAGCAATAGCGAAAATTAGACCTGAAAAAAATCAACTTAACGGCCTGCTCCCAGTTGGCTTGTTAGCTCAATTGGTAGAGCGCTGCACTAGTATCGCAGAGGTCAGTGGTTCGAATCCCGCTATCTACTGCGAGGGTCGTTCACCATATGTAAAGTATTTATATGTAGGGAGT